AATTGTTGGATCATAAAGTACAATTTGCTACAACGCGAGTTGCCAGATAGTATCATAGTGAGTGAGTGAGTATGGTTTTACGTCGCTTTTACCAATATTCCTGCAATATCACGACAGGGGACACCAGAAATCTGAAATCAGAAATCCGCCACCACCCCAGAGTGGAATAATCTCCCTCTACAACTGTGACAATCTCTTCTGTTTCTGATCACCTTAAAGATGATCTGTGCTGAGGAGGTCCAGGATGATAACCTTCCTCTTTGCTAAGCAAAAAGCTTAAAGGATTATTATTATTTTTATTTTTATAAATATCATTATTGTGGCTAAACAGTGGAGACCCACTAATATCTACACATGTATTTCATTACATTGTGTTCAAAATTGGCCACGTAACTACTAACTACCACACGTGATAATATTCGTTTTGAAGCATCAAGTCTTTCAATGGCATTTAGAAGTGACATTTATGAGAGTTTCAGGAACTAAGGAGTAAGCTTAAAAGTTGACATCCATGAATTTCCCCTCTCTGTGATGAAGTTGTTATTACCAGACCTGTGAAGATCTGGGGTAGAATAGGTCTTCAGCAACCCATGCTTGTCGTGAGAGGTGACAAACGGGATCAGGTGGTCAGGCTCGCTGACATGGTTGATGCATGTCATCGTATCCCAGTTGTGTGCATGCTCATGATGCCATCACTGGATTGTCTGGTCCAGGCTCGATCATTTGCAGACCACCGTCTTATAGCTGGAATATTGCTGAGTGTGGCGCCAAACAAACAAACAAACAAACAAACAGTTCTCACCACTGCAGGAGCAGCTGGGTGACCTCGATGTAGAACCGGCTCGGCATCGCTGTGAAGAACTTGGAATCTATTTCCTCTTGTTTCTTTTCTTCTAACTTTTCTGAAACAGGAAATCATATTATCAGAAAAAGTTACATAAGCTAAAAAAGATTATTTATAATACTTATCCTATGTGTCATGGTAAAATGGTACAAAAACTTATCCCATCTGTCATGGTAAAATGGTATATTTATAAAACTTATTCTACCTGTCATGGTTAAATGATATATTCATAATACTTATCCTATCTGTCATGTTAAAATGGTATATTTATAATCAGGGATGTGAATGCAGAAAATCACTTTTTTTAAAACATTAGTCCTCAGAAAAAATCATCTTCCGCGTAAAAATCTAATAAAAGACTATAAAAAAAAACACTCCAAAAAATATTATCGAAAACCGGATAACCATCGCGGATTGTCCTGTTTTTGATCAGAGCTGTCAGCATCATCATAGGTTTTCAGACATCATAAGTTTTCTATCATGAATACTTGCACTATAACGTGGGGTGTGGCGTCACACAGAAATTGTACATACTCAGCTTGTTTTTAAGATAAAGTTGTCTTTTAGCCTATAAGTGATTGAGATGTTTTACAGTTGTTCATGTGATTAGCAAAAAAACTATGAATGTTTCTTCAGGGTCAGGAAAACTCATAACACGGGGATCTATGTTGTATTAATGTCATGTTTGCAATGGTTTTTTGTTTTTTTTCAACGAAAGGTAAGTAAGTTCAAAGTAACTAAGTTTTTTTTCCAATGTGCTTCAACAGGGGAAAAGGGTCAGACATTGCATGCTTGTGACAGTTGTCCTTGTGTCTGGGGGATTGGGGGGTGAAGTTTATGGCAGTATTGCTCCCAGACCTGGCAGGTAGCCGGGTGCGCGGAAGCTATGCCTGATTTTTTTAAAGTACTGATTTAACTTCGAAATTTTACTGCATCCGCCATCTTTGTTTATTTGACTTATTGACTTTTGCCATTGACTTATTACATTTCTTGGTGTGAATTCTGTCCAAACTGCACGAAATTGCTTAAAAACAAGTATTTGTCACAAAGTGACGAAATGTCCCCCACCTGTATATACACCATAGTACCAAATATGAAGACAATCCAGCGATTAGTTCTTGAGATATTGCGGCAACACCGTTTTCCAACTCCAAAAACAGATTTGCCTGCTGTGACCTTGAAAATGGGGTCAAGGTCACCAAAACCGACTGGTGTATGCGGTGTCTGTATATACACCATAGTTCCAAATATGAAGACAATCCAGTGTTTAGTTCTTGAGATATCGCGGCAACATCGTTTTCCAACTCCAAAAGCAGATTTGCCTGCTGTGACCTTGAAAATGGGGTCAAGGTCACCAAAACCGACTGGTGTCTGCGGATTTTGTATATACACCATAGTTCCAAATATGAAGACAATCCAGTGTTTAGTTCTTGAGATATCGCGGCAACATCGTTTTCCAACTCCAAAAGCAGATTTGCCTGCTGTGACCTTGAAAATGGGGTCAAGGTCACCAAAACCGACTGGTGTCTGCGGAATTTGTATATACACCATAGTTCCAAATATGAAGACAATCCAGTTGATAGTTCTTGAGATATTGCGGCAACACCGTTTTCCAACTCCAAAAACAGATTTGCCTGCTGTGACCTTGAAAATGGGGTCAAGGTAACCAAAACCGACTGGTGTATGCGGTGTCTGTATATACACCATAGTTCCAAATATGAAGACAATCCAGTGTTTAGTTCTTGAGATATCGCGGCAACATCGTTTTCCAACTCCAAAAGCAGATTTGCCTGCTGTGACCTTGAAAATGGGGTCAAGGTCACCAAAACCGACTGGTGTCTGCGGAATTTGTATATACACCATAGTTCCAAATATGAAGACAATCCAGTTGATAGTTCTTGAGATATTGCGGCAACACCGTTTTCCAACTCCAAAAACAGATTTGCCTGCTGTGACCTTGAAAATGGGGTCAAGGTCACCAAAACCGACTGGTGTATGCGGTGTCTGTATATACACCATAGTTCCAAATATGAAGACAATCTAGTGTTTAGTTCTTGAGATATCGCGGCAACACCGTTTTCCAACTCCAAAAACAGATTTGCCTGCTGTGACCTTGAAAATGGGGTCAAGGTCACCAAAACCAACTGGTGTCTGCAGATTTTGTATATACACCATAGTTCCAAATATGAAGACAATCCAGTGTTTAGTTCTTGAGATATCGCGGCAACATCGTTTTCCAACTCCAAAAGCAGATTTGCCTGCTGTGACCTTGAAAATGGGGTCAAGGTCACCAAAACCGACTGGTGTCTGCGGATTTTGTATATACACCATAGTTCCAAATATGAAGACAATCCAGTGTTTAGTTCTTGAGATATCGCGGCAACACCGTTTTCCAACTCCAAAAGCAGATTTGCCTGCTGTGACCTTGAAAATGGGGTCAAGGTCACCAAAACCAACTGGTGTATGCGGTGTCTGTATATACACCATAGTTCCAAATATGAAGACAATCCAGTGTTTAGTTCTTGAGATATCGCGGCAACATCGTTTTCCAACACCAAAAGCAGATTTGCCTGCTGTGACCTTGAAAATGGGGTCAAGGTCACCAAAACCGACTGGTATCTGCGGAATTTGTATATATACCATAGTTCCAAATATGAAGACAATCCAGTTGATAGTTCTTGAGATATTGCGGCAACACCGTTTTCCAACTCCAAAAACAGATTTGCCTGCTGTGACCTTGAAAATGGGGTCAAGGTCACCAAAACCGACTGGTGTATGCGGTGTCTGTATATACACCATAGTTCCAAATATGAAGACAATCTAGTGTTTAGTTCTTGAGATATCGCGGCAACACCGTTTTCCAACTCCAAAAACAGATTTGCCTGCTGTGACCTTGAAAATGGGGTCAAGGTCACCAAAACCAACTGGTGTCTGCAGATTTTGTATATACACCATAGTTCCAAATATGAAGACAATCCAGTGTTTAGTTCTTGAGTTATCGCGGCAACATCGTTTTCCAACTCCAAAAGCAGATTTGCCTGCTGTGACCTTGAAAATGGGGTCAAGGTCACCAAAACCGACTGGTGTCTGCGGAATTTGTATATACACCATAGTTCCAAATATGAAGACAATCCAGTGTTTAGTTCTTGAGATATCGCGGCAACACCGTTTTCCAACTCCAAAAGCAGATTTGCCTGCTGTGACCTTGAAAATGGGGTCAAGGTCACCAAAACCGACTGGTGTATGCGGTGTCTGTATATACACCATAGTTCCAAATATGAAGACAATCCAGTGTTTAGTTCTTGAGATATCGCGGCAACACCGTTTTCCAACTCCAAAAACAGATTTGCCTGCTGTGACCTTGAAAATGGGGTCAAGGTAACCAAAACCGACTGGTGTCTGCGGTGTCTGTATATACACCATAGTTCCAAATATGAAGACAATCCAGTGTTTAGTTTTTGAGACATCGCGGCAACACCGTTTTCCAACTCCAAAAGCAGATTTGCCTGCTGTGACCTTGAAAATGGGATCAAGGTAACCAAAACCGACTGGTGTCTGCGGAGTCTGTATATACACCATAGTTCCAAATATGAAGACAATCCAGTGTTTAGTTCTTGAGATATCGCGGCAACACCGTTTTCCAACTCCAAAAGCAGATTTGCCTGCTGTGACCTTGAAAATGGGATCAAGGTCACCAAAACTGATTGGTGTCTGCGGAGTCTGTATATACACCATAGTTCCAAATATGAAGACAATCCAGTGTTTAGTTCTTGAGATATCGCGGCAACATCGTTTTCCAACTCCAAAAGCAGATTTGCCTGCTGTGACCTTGAAAATGGGGTCAAGGTCACCAAAACCGACTGGTGTCTGCGGATTTTGTATATACACCATAGTTCCAAATATGAAGACAATCCAGTGTTTAGTTCTTGAGTTATCGCGGCAACATCGTTTTCCAACTCCAAAAGCAGATTTGCCTGCTGTGACCTTGAAAATGGGGTCAAGGTCACCAAAACCGACTGGTGTCTGCGGAATTTGTATATACACCATAGTTCCAAATATGAAGACAATCCAGTGTTTAGTTCTTGAGATATCGCGGCAACACCGTTTTCCAACTCCAAAAGCAGATTTGCCTGCTGTGACCTTGAAAATGGGGTCAAGGTCACCAAAACCGACTGGTGTATGCGGTGTCTGTATATACACCATAGTTCCAAATATGAAGACAATCCAGTGTTTAGTTCTTGAGATATCGCGGCAACACCGTTTTCCAACTCCAAAAACAGATTTGCCTGCTGTGACCTTGAAAATGGGGTCAAGGTAACCAAAACCGACTGGTGTCTGCGGTGTCTGTATATACACCATAGTTCCAAATATGAAGACAATCCAGTGTTTAGTTCTTGAGATATCGCGGCAACACCGTTTTCCAACTCCAAAAGCAGATTTGCCTGCTGTGACCTTGAAAATGGGATCAAGGTCACCAAAACTGATTGGTGTCTGCGGAGTCTGTATATACACCATAGTTCCAAATATGAAGACAATCCAGTGTTTAGTTCTTGAGATATCGCGGCAACATCGTTTTCCAACTCCAAAAGCAGATTTGCCTGCTGTGACCTTGAAAATGGGGTCAAGGTCACCAAAACCGACTGGTGTCTGCGGATTTTGTATATACACCATAGTTCCAAATATGAAGACAATCCAGTGTTTAGTTCTTGAGATATCGCGGCAACATCGTTTTCCAACTCCAAAAGCAGATTTGCCTGCTGTGACCTTGAAAATGGGGTCAAGGTCACCAAAACCGACTGGCGTCTGCGGAATTTGTATATACACCATAGTTCCAAATATGAAGACAATCCAGTGTTTAGTTCTTGAGATATCGCGGCAACAAACAGGTGGGACGTACGGACAGTCGTGAATACTATATCCCCCGCTTCGCACTTTCCCGCGGCGGGGGACAAAAATGCAGTCAAATATTTAAAACACGCCCCCAAAACCCCCCTAGACTTTTCCTCTTTTTTTCCGGGAAAACCTGCTCACATCCCTGTATAATACTTATCCTATCTGTCATGGTAAAATGGTATATTTACATGTATCACTCACCTGGATATTTACTCAATCATGACAAAATATACATTTGCATTGTGCATGTATATGATACTGCAATTTTGACTCTGACAGCATTTAAAGGGATGGATGGCAAATCTGACAGCATGAATGTGTACTTCTCTCGATACAAATGTAGCATAAAGATCTGAACTGTTTCCATGTTATGATCCAGGATCTAAGTTTCCAGAGGCAAAGCTGGACCCCACGGCAAATCCTATTGGCATTAATGTATTATTCTCTTCATAAGAAACAAATGTATACAACGTATGTGTTTATATTAGGGTGGGGATAACATCGGTTTGCATGTTATGGTCATGGTTCTAATTCCTTTGGGAGTGCTGGACAGATGAAAGGGGGCCAGTCTTCGTAGCGTATGTGCATTCCTCTCATGATACTCAGCAATTGTACATATGGTTATACAGCGGGGATCCTAACTGTGTCCAAGGTTTAAACTCTGTTTGGCCCCGCCCCTCAGCCCCTCCATTTGTTCAATTGTAAATTCCCATCACCTGAGAATACTTCCAACCAAGTATGGTTGATGTCCATCTCTTAGTTCCAGAGAAAGAGGTGTTTAAAGCAATATTGCCAAATTGCCAAATTACCCTATTTGGCCCCACCCCTCAGCCCCTTGGGGATTCAGCCCCACCAGTTGTACAATTTGGAATTCTCACCACCGGAGAATGCTTTCAACTAAATATGGTTGATATCTATTTCTCAGTTCCAGAGAAGAAGTCATTTAAAGCAATATTGCCAAATTACCCCCATTTGGCCCCACCCCTCAGGGTGTCAGCCCCACCATTTGTACAATTTTGAATCCTCACCAAAATATCTATCTCTTAGTTCCAGAGAAGAAGTCATTTAAAGCAATATAGCCAAATTACCCCTATTGGCCCCGCCCCTCAGACACTTGAGGCGTCAAGCCAACCATTTGTACAATTTTGAATCCCCACCACCTAGGGATGCTTCCAGTCAAATTTTGTTAATTTCCAATTGGTGGTTCAGAAAAAGAAGTCGTTTGAATGAATTGTTGACGTACGGATGCTGGACGCCACAGTATGGCATTCCGACCCGGTGAGCTTAAACCAAATCATTTTAGAAAGATGGCATCTGATTGGCTCAGAACCAACACAACCTTCATGTGATTGGGCAGTTAAGTTCACTGAGGATGCGACCTCCGATCTTGATACAGCAGGTTCCTTGTACAGTGTTCCCTTGCTATTGTGCTCTTCAATATAGCGCTAACACCGTTATAGCGCGCGGTAAAGCATGGCTCCCAAAATTTACTAACATTTTTAATAAACTCCAATTTTCCAATGACACAATGTTTTCCCCCATCTCAGAAAACATTATCAGCTGATCACTGCAATCACGAAACACTCGCTAAAAGTCATATTTGAGGCAGTTTGACATTAAATGTCAACAACGTTTTCGCAATTGAAATACATGTAGCGCGGGAAGTGCCTACAGTGACTGGTCAAATTGTTCCATACATAAAAAAATATCCTACATACATGTACCACCTGTACCAAAGTGCTACACATTTGGTTCTTATAATTTTAAGTATATATATATATATATATATATATATATATATACACACACACACACACACACACACACATATAGCGGAAGCTGTAACTAAAATAACACAATATTCGTATATATTATTCCTGATAAAATAATAATTTCAGACACAATTTCTTCTGACCATTGCATCAAAAAGGTGTGCACAGCTGATTGCTATTTCCAGCTTAGTTAACAAGAAAATACACATGATAATCTTAATCTCTGCATATAAAACAATGCCTTCGAGAGCAGGAAATACATTTTAAATGGTAAATCATCCTGTCTAAGATGTTTTATATCATATTTCATACTTTTATTGACCAAGTTTGTAATATCTGTTTATTCACCTGAATTCGCAGAAGGGATACGATGTGTTTTTTGGAAAGGGCATATTAATACTCATTAAATCTTTTTTTACACTATGAAACATAAACAACTTCTATTCTAATCTTTTTTTAAAACTTGTGTTAGGTAGGCAGAGCATGTATACTGTTTTGTTGGTCATCTACCACGTATGACTCGACCTCCGTTAAACCTTGGATCATCTATAACACTCATCAATTATTTATACCCCAAAGGTAGCGTTGTAGCGAGGGATCACTGTATCAGAGTAACAGCTTCAGTCCAACGCACTCTAGAAACTTGCACACTTCCACACAGACTTACAAACAAATGTGGCACTGAATATGCTTAGTACAAGAAGGGTGTAGATGACAACCGTATATTTTGGAAATGATAATCACTTCAATACTACACTCCTGAGACAGTGAAAATGAACAACTTGCATAATTCTTAAACATTTTATCTCAGATACGAGATACTATTTCCATGAAGTTCATGTAAGCGTATACACTTTGACTGGACAGATCCATACAAGTCGACAGTCATTGCTGTTATTACAGATGGTTAATACCAACCTATATCCATCCATTCTGGGGGCAGGATTCTGCATTTCTGACGCTGCTTCAAGTTGACTGCCATCCACAGTGGTACTTGGAGGGGGATGCTTGGGACGAAGGGGCCGACGTCTCCCTACAATCAAACAGGAAGCCATGGACAGCCCGTAACAGCAGGACAGGAGATTACTGACAGGGCAAGTCTACTCTACGCCATAACTTTGCAGATGTAAATACTTAAGGCCTACTTAAACACAACTGCTTGACAAAAATTGAGTGAGTGAGTGAGTTAAAATTTAACAGCCATATAGCGACGAGACCAAGTTAATATATTTACAATTTAGTCATTAATGCAAAGTTTTGTTTAAAAACAAGTTGTAAAACATATTTGAGCATAACAATATTATATATACAGCTTTAAAACACGGGCTATAGGCCACCTCACTGGGGATCATGGGGACTTACAGTACCTCTGCTTCCTGCATGATACCCCAGCAGGATTTACGTCATCACTTTAGCCACTTGTGGTTGTGCACAATGCTAGCCAATACTAAAAAATACTCATCAATGAGTTGGCTTAAAACCATTGGTTGATGATAGTTACATTGATTATGATAGGATTACGTGTCACACAGGGGGGCAATATTTTTATGGTACTTTAACCTCCTGGACAGAGCCTTCAATAATGTCTGTTAATAGTAGCATCACACCAAAGTTAAAAACAAGTATTTAATTATTCACTTACATATTTAAAATTTATGATACAGACCAATTTCTTTCAAGTAATTTATGATGAGATGCCCGCTGACACGGGAAGAGATCTTTTAGATTTACACTTTGATCATGTGAATCCCTTGCGATTGCAAAGTCCACACAGTCAAGCAATATATGCTTAACGGTGAACCCTTCATCACAAGGGATACACTTAGGAGGTTCATCCTCATCTGTCTTAAGCATATTCGTGTGTAATCCGACTGTGGCCAATATGACATTGTCGTAAAATGACCTCATCATGTCTTGACTGACAACCCAAGTAGGTATGACCGATTGTTGGTTTCAATTCATGTAGTTTATTGCTTCCTACTTGGGTGTCCCACCTCTTTTGCGTGAGATCCCGAGTATAAGATTTGATGGTTGGTCACTGTACGGGATAAGAAGTGGAGATAACGGTTCGTCAAGAGCTGCTTTAGCTGCAGCATCGGCTTTTGAGTTACCAGTTATGCCTACATGACTTGGTAAGCAGGAAAAGACGATGTCACATTGGCCAGTGGAAAGATCATTATAGAGTTCTAAAATGTCAAGGATAATAGGGTGATATGGTGAGACACTTTTGAGTGCCTGAAGGCAAGATAACGAATCAGAGAAGATGATGAAATTTTTTGATTGGTTTTGTTGTTGAAAATAGGTCAAAGCTGTTAGGATAGCTTTGGCCTCAGCAGTAAAAATTGAACTAAAATCTGGGATTCTTGAGGAGACAGTTCTGGATCCAGTGATGGTGGCACTTGCAACTTTGCCACCATTCTTGGACCCGTCTGTAAAAATGGACCTGTGAGAATTATGTTTGGAGCGTTATCATTGGTTATATGATTGTTTATATCGATATACCAAAGGATTGGTATCCGACTTTTCTTGATTGGTAAGAGTGAGGTCTACTTCTGGCTTCACCATCTGCCAGGGAGGAGAAGATAGAAGACGGTGTAATTAAGAGCGAACGACAATTCCTCTCCAACCGTCGATTTATTCCGAGATATGGTCGAGATATTCAGAAGGATAGGATTGACTGCAAAATTAAATAAAACAACAATGTTTATAGCAGTCAATTAATGCAAAAAATGATTCTAACAACACAAATTTGCTTTTCGATAAATAATCTATCAAAAACATTTTACCAAAAATTCAATTCTAAACGTTAGATATCATAATAACAGAGATGTTCACTAAATTGTTTACACAAATAAAGTTAACATACCGTTTTATACGCTCCGCATTTCGACAACAGACACGAGCGTGCCTCTCACTCAGCCACATAACAAAATACTAGAGTTACAAGTCTATAAATAGGAACTTTAAACATAAACCTTACACACCGACCCCCTAATTGTGCAGTCAAACGAAAACAATTATTACATATCTTCAAAAAATACAAACAAAACACAATGAATTTCAAAAGTCTCTGAAAGCGTCAGCAGTTTTCACTTTTGCAACAGTCATGTTGCTATGAACACAAGTGTCCATTTCACATTAAGTTTATGTTTTCACTAGAAATGGTCGAAAGACTTTAAACAGTCTCCTATTCTGTTTCGAGTCTATTTCGAACCCAATCACAATCACATTATTTGTGCATGTCACAGTCTGCTTCGAGAATCACACACAATTTGTCTATTGGGCGTGTCAACATTGTAGTAGCAGTCTTCACTTTTACGATTCGATCAAGTCCTTTCTTGTCAGCGTACACTTCCACTATGCGTCCAAGACGCCATGCATTCCGAGGAAGGTTGTCCATAACCAACACGATGTCGTCAACAGCAATGTTTTTCTGTTGTCGGGTCCACTTCTGTCTCTCCTGAAGTGTCGTCAGGTACTCTCGGTGCCATCTTTGCCAGAACATGTCTGACAGGTATTGTACTTGGCTCCACTTCCTGCGAATATAGCAGTCATTCTTGGTGAAGTCCTGGTGGCAGACTCTCTCCTGTTCGCATCATCAACAGGTTGTTCGGTGTAAGTGGAGTCAGGTCCTCAAGGTCACTTGACACTGTCGTAATTGGTCTACTGTTCACAATAGTCTCTACTTCACAAAACAGAGTGTGAAGTCCCTCGTCATCTAGTCGAATTACCTGGGTATGTCAATGTCAGTATCAAACCCACTTGGTGGAATCTGATTAACGTTTCCATGGTTACCTTCACCTTGGTCACATGAAGAAATGTCGCTTTCATCTTCATATTTATTCAAGACCTTGCATTGAGCTTCACTCATTAACTTTTGTCTGTGAATTTCAAGTTTCTCTTCAGCCATTTTGAGTTTCACTTTCTCAAGTTCAATTCTCTCCTTTTCTTCAAGAATTTCTTCGTTTGCTATCAATTCTGCTTTCATTTGTTCTTCTTTCATTCTTGCCGATGAGGTTCTTGAAATCGATGACCTTGACTTTTCTGTAACCAGCTTGTCTTTTCTTGAAAGTGGAGCAACAGCTGATTTCTGTTTATGTTGATCAAGCTCCTGGAGAAATGTGTCAACATTGTCTTTGAAAGTTTGGAGAGAGCGTTGTCTGCTGTATCTGTGTCGTCTGCTCTATCTGTGTTGGATTTTCAGAGCCAATTTCCAACAATAAAATTTATTTTATTTAATAAGCACTGAGCTTTCGCAATCATGCCAAAGAATCTAAGTACATAACTGGGCATGGACCTAAATACTTCTGATTACACTTTGGATACATAGCAAATACTATCACACAAACCAGAGACCACTTGCTTATTGATGACGATGGCTGTGTTGTATGTGGCGCTCAGGCCGGCGGACATGGCAGGGCCTGCGACTGCACATTACGCAACTGGCCAACACTAGGCGTGTCTCACACAGATTTAATATGGGTGCACACGATTGTAACAGTTTTCCACTCATAGTTGTCAAACAATTACTTCTACATTTGGAAGAGAAAGATCTTTTTAACCAACAATTTGAATTCAGGGAGCACTGCACTTTCTCGGGCTCACTTCCACAGTTTTCAATTAACGCCACATGGAGGATCCAACACGCCTTGCCAACTTAAACATAAGCTAATGTGCAGAGCTCCAGATAAGCTTTCGGTGTTGTGGGTATTTTACCCATGCATTTTAAAATCATTGGGTATAAGTAATTCTATCTGCGTATTCAAATTTCTGTTACCCACTAGTTTTTACACATGTGGGTATTTAAGTTAAATATTTAAAAAGACTATTCATCTAGTCCCTGCAAACTGGTGTCGTGTGGGTTCGAGAGCTTTATAGGACTCAAAAATACCACGATACTTCCACAAGAAAGTGTGATGGCAAATGATCATGATCTGACTGTCATCGTGGAGTTTGGCAAGGTTGACGGAATGCCAACTTCTAATTTCAAAATAAGTTGCTCATTTGCTAATCGAATACGCAGGGTTACTTCACAATATTTTTGTGATACGCACAAGTTTTATTTTTGTAGCGTATCTGTAATATTCGTTGCGTATTTGATACGCTTGGATTAAATTTTACTGCATATTTCCGCATTTCTGATGCGTATTTCACGCAGATACGCAGCTTATCTGGAGCTCTGAATGTGTCATTCTTGTTAGCCAACACTTTACCACAGGACCACAGGGGCTTTCCAAACTAAGTGCCCTTGGCAGGCAAACCGAAAAATAAAAATGTTCTTTGGTTGGCAATTTCCACTTTTTTAAAAGTTCTTATTTTCCTAAATTCAGAGGTATCTCACCATTGAACTGTAACATTGCATTCATTGCAATAATGACTTCTGACAAAATAGGGGTAGTTCATGAAATAATGGCACAATGCTTATGACACAAAAAAATTTCAGCAACATATGTTACAGTCCTAAGACCAATCCAACTGGCCAACACACCCCTAGGATTGTAAGGGGGTACCTAACCCTGGCCAACACACCCCTAGGATTGTAAGGGGGTACCTAACCCTGGCCAACACACCCCTAGGATTGTAAGGGGGTACCTAACCCTGGCCAACACATCCCTAGGATTGTTAGGGGGTACCTAACCCTGGCCAACACACCCCTAGGATTGTAAGGGGGTACCTAACCCTGGCCAACACACCCCTAGGATTGTAAGGGGGTACCTAACCCTGGCCCTGGCCAACACACCCCTAGGATTGTAAGGGGGTACCTAACCCTAACCCTGGCCAACACACCCCTAGGATTGCAAGGGGGTACCTAACCCAAAGGTCAAAGATGCTTGATCAGAAATCGGTACCTAACCCTATTTGTCGTTTTGTAAGGTGACAAATACTTATGTCCACTAGGGCCTAACTGTAGTTTGGCTGTGTAACTTTGTAGTAATTTAATTACAGTCCATCTTTCATGTAATGATCTGAATACGAGAATCTACATGTGTATGCCTCTAACTGATGCCAATATATACCACAGGAAAAGTTATACTGGCTAGCGACCAGTTATCGCTGGGTGCAGGCTAAAACGGCACCTCAGCAAAACGGCACCAATTTCTTGGGCCATTTCCGCCAGACTCAGTTTAAGCTTGACACTGAGTTAATTTGAGTAAAGGTACTTAAAACTTCAAATCATGTGATGTTTCAACGATAAGTTTAGTTGCGCCTCCCAATCAGAGTCGGTGAGTAAATTGGAGTAGAGGCTAATTCCTAATGTAAACTTGTTTTAAGGCAATTAATATTTCACAATTATTTGTGTGTGCAAGTGACCATGTGAGTTTAATTTCATTTATTTTACTTCAAAGCATGTAATGTTTTCACAATAAGTTTAGTTCGCCTCCAAATAAGAGTCGGCGAGTTGAGGCTAGTTTCTGATGTAAACTTTTTTTTAACATTTCACAGTTATTTGTGCTTGCAAGTGACCATGTGATTTTAATTTCATGTATCTCAGAACCAAGGTAAAAAAAATAATAAGGTGCCGTTTTCGCCAGGCAATAGTAGCCGTTCTCGCTTTAGACGAGGTGCCATTTTTGCCAATCAGTGCTGTTTTGCTGATGTGCCATTTTAGCAATAACCCGTTACACTGAGGACCAATTATCCCCAGTTCCATGTTATAGTGCATGTGATCGCATCTCATTTTACCTTTGCTTGTTTCCATTAGAAGAGAGAAATATTTATCCGAAAATGATGAACAAAAGGACTCTTGTGAGTCAGTTCTTAGTAGGATGCGGGTACCCACAGGACTGCCTGGACCCATGGTTAGTCATGTGATATATTGTATATTGTTTAATGACAAAAATTATTTAAAACTCTTCTTTTCTGACAATGCACCCATTCCTTCTGACTTTTATATGTTTGAATAAAGATAAAACTTCATGAATGAAACATCAGTGTATGCATGATCCACAACACCATTTAACTAATAAAACTGATAAAAAAAAACTCGCAAAAAAGCTCGGGGTCTTTTTTTACTACTATTAGTTACATGGTCCTGTGCACGAGCGGATCGTTTTACACGTGTATCTAAATACATTTTGCCAGGGCTACGGTCAAACGTTTCCAAATCGGGAAGTTTGTACCTATCTCTAAACATCTACAGCGGGTAGCCGGGTAGGGTCGGGTAATAGGGTGGTGGGTACCCGGGTAGTAAATTCGGACCCGTCCCAGCCATAACATGCACTTGGTCTACTCCATAACAGAACTTAGAAAATACTCCATAACAGAACTTGGAAAACATTGTGCTACTTACACTGATCAGATAAATCTTATCTTGCGCAAAGTTAGGCACAATCGTGACCAACTCCTTCTCGGCCAAAAATTCTACTTCTGACGGATCCATGCTTAGTAAAAGGATCACAGAGTCATCTTCTCTAAACATGAAATGAACACAATATATTATAACTGTGTCAATTTTCCCGCAAAATATATTTAAGGTGAAGGACAGTCTCTATTTCCGCTTCCGCATTATGCGCTGAAGCACTTGCAAAAGATGGCAGCCTCCTTGCTTCGAAGAGAAGCCGGGGTCTTGGGCCAATATATGCTACGATTTGAAACGGGAAAAGTAACAACTATTTTGTGTTATTGCGTTTGGAATGCCGTTTTGAAACGATACGAACACCTGACCCGTAAACGCATGTGCTTTTTGCTTGGCAATGTATTAGCCAGACCATATTTTGACATTGAAAGTGACACTGGCAACCAGCAGATGAATAGCAGAATGCATGATGAAAGAAATAAAACACGACAGCATCGGGCGATAATTTGATACAGATTTTGACAACAATTGATTGCACTGACTGTAGCATGATTGATATATCGGTACATATAAATAAGTACAAATTGTATAGTATAGATCTACTCCAAAACACAGTCTCATAAAGATTCTGCTTCAGACATGTTTTTATAAGAGGCAAGTTGAAGAGAAACCTCAAGTGTTGGTACACATGCATTATAGCTGACACCTATCCGCCATGTTTATTTGATGCTACTAGTACCAGTAAAGCCGCACACAACAGCATCACTATTTGATGCTACTAGTACCAGTAAAGCCGCACACAACAGCATCACTATTTGATGCTACTAGTACCAGTAAAGCCGCACACAACAGCATCACTATTTGATGCTACTAGTACCAGTGAAGCCGCACACAACAGCATCACTATTTGATGCTACTAGTACCAGTAAAGCCGCACACAACAGCATCACTATTTGATGCTACTAGTACCAGTAAAGCCGCACACAACAGCATCACTATTTGATGCTACTAGTACCAGTAAAGCCGCACACAACAGCATCACTATTTGATGCTACTAGCACCAGTAAAGCCGCACACAACAGCATCACTATTTGATGCTACTAGCACCAGTAAAGCCGCACACAACAGCATCACTATTTGATGCTACTAGCACCAGTAAAGCCGCACACAACAGCATCACTATTTGATGCTACTAGTACCAGTAAAGCCGCACACAACAGCATCACTATTTGATGCTACTAGTACCAGTAAAGCCGCACACAACAGCATCACTATTTGATGCTACTAGTACCAGTAAAGCCGCACACAACAGCATCACTATTTGATGCTACTAGTACCAGTAAAGCCGCACACAACAGCATCACTATTTGATGCTACTAGCACCAGTAAAGCCGCACACAACAGCATCACTATTTGATGCTACTAGCACCAGTAAAGCCGCACACAACAGCATCACTATTTGATGCTACTAGTACCAGTAAAGCCGCACACAACAGCATCACTATTTGATGCTACTAGTACCAGTAAAGCCGCACACAACAGCATCACTATTTGAAAAATAGGATGATAAAGCACAAAATAAGCAGAAAATATTACCCTGCTAGCATTTGTATGGTTAAATATGATTAAACCTTGAAATGAATATTAAAGCGATGCATTAATGTCAAAACCTAGACATCAATATCGATAAAGTACTATAAAAGAGAAGTTCCATAATGGCATGCAACAATCACATCAGTGACTCACATTGGAGCCACATTTCAGCAAACACATATTTTGTATCTACTTTGATAATTAAACAATACATTTACTTCAGAAAACATTTAATTCAAGCTGTTGTGTTGGCGGCAAGTGCCCAAGTCCCCCGTTATATTAGCGAGGCAACAATAATCATTTCTGAAAAACTTAAGATACAGTTACTAAAGAATTAGCTTGTGCAATATCCCTCAACATATGACGGAACGTGTCTGGTATACTGCATGAATTCTTGCACGAGTGATTTTCACACGATTGAGTTACAAAGTACTAATTGCCAAATTGATTGGATTAAAAGCCAGTGTTTATCAAAGGCAAGATTATAATAGAAAAGCTGCAGGCCCTGACTAAACTTTTCAGGTCCTCATTTGAAAAAATGCAGCTTATCGTGATAAATACCTTGACACATACATTTTCTGCAGGCCATTAGGATACCTACAAATTTGAAACTACAAACCCGACAAAATCTACCTGCCATGAGACTACGGGCAGGCGTATATTTTGAATGCTGCTCCTACCCAGAGTTCCTTGTGGCCACATCATCACGTTATACACAGTCCATTCGAGATATTTCATATGTTTGTTTTTTTTCTGTTTCATTCCTATGTCAAACCTATGTCATGAAACTTTCATTGAGAAAATATCCGAAAACGTGTCTTTGTCCTTTATTTACATTGGTTGTTTGGTAGGGCTGTTACGATTCACTCATGTCAACATGGTCAAACCATGTTAAATATTTTATTTTGTTATTGTTTCACTGAATATAATAAATAATACTTCAACTGATGACCTCTTACTGTAATCGTGAATTAATGTTCATATTCGTTACCCTATATTCATGTTCTGTATCGTATTCGCCTCACAGTGTATTCATTGCAGCCCTAAATGTTTGGCTCCACTGCCCTCACAGCCCCCGATTAGGTCAAGTTGACATGTAAAACTTTATTGTCATGTACCTCACTGTCCCAGTTATAGTAGCAAATCTATATAATTATGCAAAACAATTTGTCAAGTGAACCGAAAGGCTTACATTAGGTCCGTCTGTTCTTATTTCAGAATAAGTGTGTTTGTTTACAAACAAGAGAAAAGGTCAGTCATGTGATAAGCCTATACCTGCGGTGTGGTCGCTGGAGAAGAAACTTCTCTTGCAGAATAAGTACGCTTGAGAGTTATTGGTTATTATTTGCAAACAATGCTTGAGAACGGTTGGTGTACTGGCCCTTTAAGAATTCCATATCGTTTGTGTTTATGGAGGTAAACTGGCAGCGACCAGTTATCACTGATCACCAATTATCGCCAACACCCTTTTATAGCATGCGTGGGATCTTATCTCATTTTACGTTTGCTCATTTTCATTAGAAGAGAGAAATATTTATCTCAAGATGATAAACAAAACTGATTCTTGTTAGGAAATGTTAAAAAATAAGACATATAAGCACCTTGCTCAAATACAACTTTAGAAAAGACGAGGGTGGTGTCATGTGACTAATTCACTTTTTAACAAAAATCCAACAACACGATGATGAACATTTGATTCTGAAATTGCCTTCTATCTGTCTGTGGGGCGGTCGGGTAGCCTAGTGGTTAAAGCGTTCACTCGTCACGCCGAAGACCCGGGTTCGATTCCCGACATGGGTACAATGTGTGAAGCCCATTTTTGGTGTCCCCCGCCGTGATATTGCTGGAATATTGCTAAAAGCGGCGTTAAAACAAACTCACTCACTCACTCTATCTGTCTGTAATTCCTTCCCCAAAGCACAATTCTAAAACCTAATTTAGCTACAGTAGAACATGGATATAACCAACTACAAGGGACCGGAGACATCAGTTTGTTATATATATATTGTTTGTTATATACATTTTCACTCGGAAACGTCCACCATCTGGGCTAAAACAATACACAATATACATGTTTATACACATTTCCTCCCACATCTTCAAAACATTTTGATGCAATGGTTGGAAGAAATTGTATCTGAAATTATTATTTTATCGGAAAAATATATTCCAATATTGTGTTATTTCAGTTACAGCTTTCACTACATATATGTAGAATTATAAGAACCACAACAGTAGTCCAAGATAAGATTAGTCCAATTACATGGACAGGTAAGAGTAACATGATGCAAGTTGAACAAGGTCAAATCGTCACCAGTGATTGTGTTGATTCGCCGCAATTGTGTTGATTCGCTGCTGATTGCATACGGCCAATTGTCAGTGACACTTGACACTGAGTGAGATTTCTCAGTTCGCTATACACGTCACTTAATAGTGGTAGATGGGCTTTGTCGGTGATCAGATATCAGCTGCTCTATCTGTTAGTTCGCTGTAGAAAGTTCGTTATGTATGTAAATTTAATGTGATAATATTTAGGAGATAAATCGGGGATTTTTTGACAGTTGGTTGTATCCGTTTGTTCACTCTCTCTGTGTTTGTTTGTTCGCTCTCTCTGTGTTTGTTATAGCCGTGTCCTACTGCATATTTAAAAAATTACATACCCTGAATAGATTGCGAGATCCATACTACATAGTGTTATGAATAAGTATGCACACCACCACCTCCTCAAGCAAAACACGCACGCATGCACCCACGCACACACGCAGGCACACATGCACGCACGCACACACGCACACATACACACCCAGACCCCCAGATATATCTAGATATTTGGTAGGTCTTTGATGATACAGTTTTATGACCTTCCAGAATATTGCAAGAGGAGGCAAGCAGCTCGTGTGCCGTGTCCAGCTCCTGGTCAGACACAAGTATGGGGGCCAGAGTGTCCGTTCCCTGGCAACCTCCCCAGCCACATCAGACAAGGCAGTTACAGTACAACCAACCTTGGAAGTCCCGGAACAAGAGGCCCTGTACAGGTAGGGGATAACACTCGTTACAAAAACAAGAGGCCCTGTACAGGTAGGGGATAACACTCATTACCAGAACAAGACGTCATGTACAGGTAGGGGATAACACTCATTACCGGAACAAGACGTCATGTACAGGTAGGGGATAACACTCATTACCAGAACAAGAGGCCCTGTACAGGTAGGGGATAACACTCATTACCAGAACAAGAGGCCCTGTACAGGTAGGGGATAACACTCATTACCAGAACAAGAGGCCCTGTACAGGTAGGGGATAACACTCATTACCAGAACAAGAGGCCCTGTACAGGTAGGGGATAACACTCATTACCAGAACAAGAGGCCCTGTACAGGTAGGGGATAACACTCATTACCAGAACAAGAGGCCCTGTGCAGGTAGGGGTTAACACTCATTACCAGAACAAGAGGCCCTGTACAGGTAGGGGATAACACTCATTACCAGAACAAGAGGCCCTGTACAGGTAGGGGATAACACTCATTACCAGAACAAGAGGCCCTGTACAGGTAGGGGATAACACTCATTACCAGAACAAGAGGCCCTGTACAGGTAGGGGTTAACACTCATTACCAGAACAAGAGGCCCTGTACAAGTAGGGGATAACACTCATTACCAGAACAAGAGGCCCTGTACAGGTAGGGGATAACACTCATTACCAGAACAAGAGGCCCTGTGCAGGTACGGGTTAACACTCATTACCAGAACAAGAGGCCCTGTACAGGTAGGGGATAACACTCATTACCAGAACAAGAGGTCCTGTGCAGGTAGGGGAAAGCTCTCATAACCGGAACAAGACGTCATGTACAGGTAGGGGATAACACTCATTACCGGAACAAGACGTCATGTACAGGTAGGGGATAACACTCATTACCGGAACAAGACGTCATGTACAGGTAGGGGATAGCACTCATTACCAGAACAAGAGGCCCTGTACAGGTAGGGGATAACACTCATTACCGGAACAAGACGTCATGTACAGGTAGGGGATAACACTCATTACCAGAACAAGAGGCCCTGTACAGGTAGGGGATAACACTCATTACCAGAACAAGACGTCATGTACAGGTAGGGGATAACACTCATTACCGGAACAAGACGTCATGTACAGGTAGGGGATAACACACACACACATCGCTATGGAAGTCCAGTAGTCCTGGATGCAATGTTAAACCCCATTTCACCTCACCAAACATTGAATATTATGTTTTTTTCAACATGTGCATTATTAATATATTTAGCTACATTAACTATTTTGATAGATGTTGAGATGATAAGAAGAGGTTGAATTTGTGACAGTTTTGATGGAGATGAATCTTGGTTTTAATATAAATTTGTCTTCAGTTATCAAACACGGGGCAAATAAATACAGGTGGTATTCTGTTTCAACCCAGTATAAGTTGTATGACTTTTATTTACATAAGTTTTGTGGAATATTTGCATGGGTCCACTTTCAATTTGTAAATTATGACAACTTCATAAGAATCTCATTGCATTACCATAACCCAGATAGCAGCCTCTCTTCTCAGTAATTCAAAGACCCATGGAGATCTAAGTTAGAATTAGTCTTCAACCCTTGCTTGTCATAAGAGGTGATTGGCTTGGTTGATGCATGTCATTGTGTTCCAATTACGTAGAACTATGCTCATGAAGTCAATCACTGGATTGTCTGGTCCAGCTGTCTAAGACCAACAGGTATAACATACTACAAGACAAAAGAGATCATCCCGAGAGCCATGTTTATCTCCAATACAAACTGTTTATGAATGTTTGCCTGATCATGTTGGTGCACAACAACATAGGCAGATGACATACAATCTTCATGGTACATTGAATTGTGTATAGGAAATGTTTAAAGCCTATTTAGCAAAAGTTGCTATAGTATCGCCATGGTTACTGACGGTTGCAACTATCCCCAGGGAGCGCTACATCCCCATCACCCGGCGCTCCGTCATTCGGCATCTGATGCAGGAGGAAGACTTTCTCACTGATGAGGAGAAAAAGAAGTTTGATGATTTCGCTCTGGCTCTTGATTCTGCCATCGTCAACAAGTACCATGGCATACTCCAGGAGCTCAAGGTGGGTACACAAGGAGGGTACACAAGGAGGGTACACAAGGAGGGTACACAAGGACTGACCCTTGATCCTCCTGCTTCCAATCACTGATTTCGATAGCTGTCATTTTCGTGAGAATATTCATTGACTTTCGCTTATCGTTCTCCTTGAAAGGAGTTGCTATTGGTTCAGACATGCAAAGAACATGCACGTCCTGAGCCAACTCCTGTAGTGGCTGCCCAGTCTTCCTAGTGCCTGATGAGTGTCTGTTGGCGGTCGTTGTTGCGGGCAAGTCTTTGCCATCTATATCAACACCGGGATGAGTCACAGGATCGGGTTGTCAGGCTTGCTGAGTTGGTTGATGCATGTCATTGTATCCCAAGTGTGTAGATCGATGCTCATGATATCAATCACTGGATTGTCTGGTCCAGAGTCGATTATTTACAGACCACTGTCATATAAGTGGAATATTGCTGAGTGCGGTGTTAAACAACAAACAAACAAAAACAGACATCGAGGACTGGAAGCAAGCAGGTTGTTGTGGCAGAGCACTTCTGTTCCTCCACGGGAGATTGTTACTTTTGTTAAATACAAAAATGGTCTTATTTAAATTGATGAAGTTTAACTAAACATATTTTTCAGTAATTTTGACACAGATATAACTGTTGATTGTAACACAGATCTAACTGTTGATTGTAACACGGTTGTAACTGTTGATTATTTTTAAATCATTGTTTATTTCCCTCAGCGTTTTCCATGATTTTTCTTCATGTTTAGTACAAACGAGTAACCATGACAACTACAGGAGCAACAATATGGTGTTTATATGTGATGATTGTAAATCTGGAACACATTTTCAGCGCATATTTGACCCCTTGAACCCTGACAAGGATACCATCGCGACACGCGAGTGGACGCGGCGGGAGCGGCTGGACAACGAGTTCTGGCTGCTGCAGCAGATGGAGGACATCATGGAAAAAGCCAACTTCCACGAGCTGCCCCGCGCCACCGTCAGCCGCGCCCTGGAGGAACATGAGGCCAGGGAAGGAGTACGGGTAGGTCTCTCAGTGGGAGTCTCTGGGTAGGTCTGTCAGTGGGAGTCTCTAGGTAGGTGTGTCAGTGGGAGTCTCTGGGTAGGTCTGTCAGTGGGAGTCTCTGGGTAGGTGTGTCAGTGGGAGTCTCTGGGTAGGTGTGTCAGTGGGAGTCTCTGGGTAGGTGTGTCAGTGGGATCTCTGGGTAGGTGTGTCTCTGGGTAGGTCTGTCAGTGGGAGTCTCTGGGTAGGTGTGTCAGTGGGAGTCTCTGGGTTGGGGTGTCAGTGGGAGTCTCTGGGTAGGTGTGTCAGTGGGAGTCTCTGGGTAGGTCTGTCAGTGGGAGTCTCTGGGTAGGTGTGTCAGTGGGAGTCTCTGAGTAGGTGTCAGTGGGAGTCCCTGGGTAGGTGTGTCAGTGGGAGTCTCTGGGTAGGTGTGTCAGTGGGATCTCTGGGTAGGTGTGTCTCTGGGTAGGTCTGTCAGTGGGAGTCTCTGGGTAGGTGTGTCAGTGGGAGTCTCTGGGTAGGTGTGTCAGTGGGAGTCTCTGGGTTGGTGTGTCAGTTGGAGTCTCTGGGTTGGGGTGTCAGTGGGAGTCTCTGGGTAGGTGTGTCAGTGGGAGTCTCTGGGTAGGTGTGTCAGTGGGAGTCTCTGGGTTGGGGTGTCAGTGGGAGTCTCTGGGTAGGTGTGTCAGTGGGAGTCTATGGGTAGGTGTGTCAGTGGGAGTCTCTGGGTTGGGGTGTCAGTGGGAGTCTCTGGGTAGGTGTGTCAGTGGGAGTCTCTGGGTAGGTGTGTCCGTGGGAGTCTCTGGGTAGGTGTGTCCGTGGGAGTCTCTGGGTAGGTGTGTCAGTGGGAGTCTCTGGGTAGGTGTGTCAGTGGGAGTCTCTGGGTAGGTGTGTCAGTGGGAGTCTCTGGGTAGGTGTGTCAGTGGGAGTCTCTGGGTAGGTGTGTCAGTGGGAGTCTCTGGGTTGGGGTGTCAGTGGGAGTCTCTGGGTAGGTGTGTCAGTGGGAGTCTCTGGGTAGGTGTGTCAGTGGGAGTCTCTGGGTAGGTGTGTCAGTGGGAGTCTCTGGGTAGGTGTGTCAGTGGGAGTCTCTGGGTTGGGGTGTCAGTGGGAGTCTCTGGGTAGGTGTGTCAGTGGGAGTCTCTGGGTTGGGGTGTCAGTGGGAGTCTCTGGGTAGGTGTGTCAGTGGGAGTCTCTGGGTTGGGGTGTCAGTAGGAGTCTCTGGGTAGGTGTGTCAGTGGGAGTCTCTGGGTTGGGGTGTCAGTGGGAGTCTCTGGGTAGGTGTGTCAGTGGGAATCTCTGGGTAGGTGTGTCAGTGGGAGTCTCTGGGTAGGTGTGTCAGTGGGAGTATCTGGGTAGGTGTGTCAGTGGGAGTCTCTGGGTTGGGGTGTCAGTGGGAGTTTCTGGGTAGGTGTGTCAGTGGGAGTCTCTGGGTTGGGGTGTCAGTGGGAGTCTCTGGGTAGGTGTGTCAGTGGGAGTCTCTGGGTTGGGGTGTCAGTAGGAGTCTCTGGGTAGGTGTGTCAGTGGGAGTCACAGTGGGAACCTGGCTGTATTTCACCAAACAGGTATCAGTTTGTAGGTATGTTTATTACCCATAGGGTTAGACATACACAAGGTCATTGATATTGTGTATGCACTAGTGCAAATAACTTCACCCACATTGTTCATGTCATTCTAATCTTATAGTGATGTAGGGTCGGAATGACGTCACACTAGAAATAATTTCAAAGCTGAAGATAGTTGACGTCCTTCTACAAGTATGGTTTTCTAAAAAAAGGCGGTTGTGATCAGTGCATTTTCTGAAGGTTAGTCTGCATGCATGTCTGTCCATCTTTCTGTTTTTTCTGTTTATGGAGCAAAACTCCTAAACCATTGACTATTTCTTGTTGAAAGTTGCTCTACAGATCAGTCTGGTGGGGAATTGGAGCCTTTTGAGGATTTGGGATTTTTATTCAAGTTAGTTTATGTTTTCACGACGACAAGTTGGACTTGGCTGAAAATAATGGTACTGCTCATTTCTGAGCAGAGCTGTACAGATCAGAGTAGTGGTGAACTGGAGCCTTTTGTGGATTTGGGATATTGAAAAATACTGAGCAGCATGACGTTTTTCTTCACTGAACTGAATGTTTCCAATGGCAATGAACCCAAAGTGGGGTATGAGAAGTTAAACTCTAGTTCTGAATTGCACCAGAACGTGGGTTGTGTCATCACCTGTTTTCAAATAATAATCGATTCTGTTGATTGGTTACAGGTGAGTGTGGATCCCAACAAGTACGATATTTTGCGGTTCTGGGCTCTAGGCCGTGAGAGGCCAGTGCACGGTCCCTCCATCTGGGAGCGCCTGGTGAGCAGAGCGACCAGGAAGCCGATACCCCAGCCTATAGAGTACTACAAGCGGGTCGTGCTGGCCATCAGGCTGAAGAAGGACTCGAAACTCATGCTTAAAGCTTTTAAAGAAGTGCCCATCAATTCATTAGAGATGCTTCTACCAGATGGCACAATCAAGATGAGTACTTTTGACAAGGGTTTGTTGTCGTCGTCTGTTTTCCTAGCGTCTGTGGGTGTTGTGGCCAAAGTTGTGACTGTTTTAGCGGAAATGAAAATTGACTGGACCTTGATAGTGACAGCCATTACTGGAGTGGTGGGAATCAGGGCGTGGACAGTGTACAAGAACAGACGGAACAGCTACCTCGTGGACGTGTCACGGATGCTGTACTTCAAGAATATCGCCAACAACAGGGGCTTGTTGACATTGCTGGTGGATCGGGCAGAAGATGAAAGCTTCAAGGAAGCCTTGCTGACATACAGCTTCCTGCTGACGACTCGACCACCATCTGTGAAAGCCAAGCCAAGCAGTCAGCATAATCCTTCAGAACTCGGTATATGAGTACAGTACAGTATTTATTTAAACTTATCCAGCATTACTCCTTAATGCATTTACTGTTGTTCTCTGACAGAAAGACGGACTGTGTGAGATCCAGCCGCTAAAGAAAAGTTGTTCCAACCAGTATCTGGCAGCACGTAGCAAAACAATAGGCTTTATTTCCACAAAGGATACAACAGTACGTCCTTTCGTGGCGGTTACGAAGCAGTAATGTGCTCTTCTGTGACGTCATCGCTTCTGGGTCACGTGCCGACTGTGCAGGTGCTGCCTCTACTGGTTGGAACAGCTTTTCTTTAGCAGCTGGATCTCACACTCGTCTTTTTGTCCGAAAACAGTAGTAAATGTATTAAAGAGGAATGCAGGATAAGTATACAATTGTAAAAAATATTTAGATTTTGCTAATTTCCTCCTATTAAGCCTTTCCACATAATCCTGATAACTAGATGTTTGCACAGTATTATCCTCCTGATAAAACTATTTTAGTGAAAAGTTTCAAGTTTTGTAACTGCACTTTCATTATTACAAAGTGTTTTAATACAAGTATTTTCAGCTTTTGTTGAATTGTTGAAATAGTCTCATAATGTTAAGTAACAGCAAGAGTTACTATGGTAACAACTTGATCTTGTTTTTCAGGTGGAATAACAGACATTCAGGTTGAGAAAATGGCAGAGGATTTCATCAGGAAAAAGACTGGTGTGAAGATTGAGTTTGACTCCTCAGAGGCGGTGAAATTGTTGAAGGGTTTCGGACTCCTCAGTGAGAAGGGAGACAAGCTGAACGTGCTGTCACTGGAGGCGGCGATGCGGAACCTCCCCCAACAGCCGCAGTCCGTGATCGCCCGCAGGGAGGAGGCGGACATCACCGAGGGGTATGACCGGGACGAGTACCTCGAGACAGAGGAGGAATACAAGGACGAGGAGAGGAAGACCAAGAAATATGGCTGGTTCTAGTCGACACCAACAACTTAGGAAAAATAATATATGAAAATGAATGTAGGTTGGAAATCTCCATCAGTGTTTTGTTGAGTTCGATGTTGATCAGAGGGTCCTATTTGACAAATGATTTAGGAGGAACATTTTAGAATAATTAGAATTCATATCACGTAATATCTGGGTATAATTTTGGTTATTTGGAATACACTGAATAGCAGAGTATGACAGTAATTGTTTTTTGTTGAGGACTTCCTGTTCAGTTGTAAAAATAAATTCAGTGTATAGGTGCTTGGGAAAGTGATTTCTAAATTGTAGGATATCCAGAAAGTGAATGAATTCATTTTGAAGTTGTTTTTATTGGAGATCTTCATCCTGCTTTTGTGAACGTGAATGTTGGTTCACTGTGTGAATGTGTCCTCCACTCGCTATAGTCACATGACATGTCCGAAGTAATCGCCAGAGTTGTGCTGGCAGTGCTTCAGACAGACTCCGCCATTACAAGCAAACTTGACAACATGTCTGATGCCTCCAGACTTTCCAGTCCATTTGGACCAGTGATGAAATATTTATGCAATCTTTTCCACGATAACATAACATGCATGTTATGTCAGTGTTTTCACGTCAAAGTTTTGTGAATCAACACAGATGAATTTGTAATAATGATATTACTCTGAATAGTTAATTGTTGATTTTGGTATTTTCAACATCTGCATATATGAAGTTATTACACAGATCATGTATGAGTTGTGATTTCTGTATGCTGTATATAGGCCCCCAGTTGAGAGAATGTCTGTAAATAAATAGTGCGTTTATCACTTGACTTCCTTATTCTTTGTCTTGCATCGTAAATTTGGTAAACCCCATGACGCAACTATACTGACACTGTTGTCACGTTCTGGTGCAGACACCACCTCCATGACGCCAACTACGCTGGCACTGTTGTCACGTTCTGGTGCAGACTCTAGCTCCACACAGACACGAGGTGGGAGGGAAGACACTGCGTTAAACTTACCCGACACCACCCACACATTATTGATGTTATTGTGAGAGCTATGGTTACATTAAGCATGGTGACTACGAGGACGTCATGAGGTTAAAGAGCTAATGATAAAGTGCCAGTCTTGACTTTGTTGCCTTTCGTTGACTGAAGGTGCTATTCATAGACTGCAGGTGCCATTCTTAGACTGAATGTGCCATTCGTGTGCCATTGTAGACTGTAGATGACATTCATCTGCCATTGTAGACTGTAGGTGTGGACATAGCACCTTGCAACATCTTCTGCTGGTGTTTGACAGTATGTTGCCGAGGCACACAGTGATCTCTCCAAACTCATCCCTTCTGCTCACTGCACCATTTCCTGCAACCAGTTTCAAACAAAACTTTGCTTTTTGTAATTCCTGAAATGAACTCGAAAGGTCGAATTGTACGATATAGAAGCCGTCTGGACTTCGAGGGGATTGAAGGAAGTCTGATTATTTTAAAGGGGTCTGTTTCCGTGAAGAACAAAAGATCATCCTCTTGTCTCAGTGATCAAATGTTCACCTGAACACATCAGCTGAAAGGTTTCATGTAGTTGTAGTAAGACACCATGTGGCATCGCAGGCCTACTTGCATATGTTTTTTTCTCAAAACTTGTTTGATTAGGTTACAACATTCAATCTCGCGACAACTTCTTTTCACACATTTTTTGGCATCTGTTTCATATAGCTGTCAGTAACGTAACTAGAATGGCTGGTGTTACGTGTTGATTCCCAAATTGAAACAATATGTTAATCCTGAAATCTGTAAGTAAAAGAACTTAGTGTGAAACCAACAAGTGGTATACAATCAACAAATGTATAACAAAATTAACTAAGTTTACAAATCCATACAATTTACTGCACAGCAATTACAAGGGAGGTAAGCAATAGAGTGGTAGTACACAATAGAGTGGTAGTACACAATAGAGTGGTAGTATACTATAGAGTGGTAGTACACAATAGAGTGGTAGTACACAATAGAGTGGTAGTACACAATAGAGGGGTAGTACACAATAGAGTGGTAGTACACAATAGAGTGGTAGTACACAGTAGAGTGGTAGTATACAGTAGAGTGGTAGTACACAATAGAGTGGTAGTACACAATAGAGTGGTAGTACAATAGAGTGGTAGTATACAATAGAGTGGTAGTATACAATAGAGTGGTAGTACACAATAGAGTGGTAGTACACAATAGAGTGGTAGTACACAATAGAGTGGTAGTATACAATAGAGTGGTAGTACACAATAGAGTGGTAGTACACAATAGAGTGGTAGTATACAATAGAGTGGTAGTACACAATAGAGTGGTAGTACAGAATAGAGTGGTAGTACACAATAGAGTGGTAGTACACAATAGAGTGGTAGTACACAATAGAGTGGTAGTATACAATAGAGTGGTAGTACACAATAGAGTGGTAGTATACAATAGAGTGGTAGTACACAATAGAGTGGTAGCATACAATAGAGTGGTAGTACACAATAGAGTGGTAGTATACAATAGAGTGGTAGTACACAATAGAGTGGTAGTACACTATAGAGTGGTAGTATACAATAGAGTGGTAGTACACAATAGAGTGGTAGTACCCAATACAGTGGTAGTACACAATAGAGTGGTAGTACACAATAGAGTGGTAGTATACAATAGAGTGGTAGTACACAATAGAGTGGTAGTACACAATAGAGTGGTAGTACACAATAGAGTGGTAGTATACAATAGAGTGGTAGTACACAATAGAGTGGTAGTACACAATAGAGTGATAGTACACAATAGAGTGGTAGTACACAATAGAGTGGTAGTATACAATAGAGTGGTAGTACACAATAGAGTGGTAGTACACAATAGAGTGGTAGTACACAATAGAGTGGTAGTACACAATAGAGTGGTAGTATACAATAGAGTGGTAGTACACAATAGAGTGGTAGTACACAGTAGAGTGGTCGTATACAATAGAGTGGTCGTATACAATAGAGTGGTAGTATACAATAGAGTGGTAGTACACAATAGAGTGGTAGTACACAATAGAGTGGTAGTACACAATAGAGTGGTAGTACACAATAGAGTGGTAGTACACAATAGAGTGGTAGTATACAATAGAGTGGTAGTACACAATAGAGTGGTAGTATACAATAGAGTGGTAGTATACAATAGAGTGGTAGTATACAATAGAGTGGTAGTACACAATAGAGTGGTAGTACACAATAGAGTGGTAGTATACAATAGAGTGGTAGTATACAATAGAGTGGTAGTACACTATAGAGTGGTAGTACACAATAGAGTGGTAGTATACAATAGAGTGGTAGTACACAATAGAGTGATAGTACACAATAGAGTGGTAGTATACAATAGAGTGGTAGTACACAATAGAGTGGTAGTACACAATAGAGTGGCAGTACACTATAGAGTGGTAGTATACAATAGAGTGGTAGTATACAATAGAGTGGTAGTATACAATAGAGTGGTAGTATACAATAGAGTGGTAGTACACAATAGAGTGGCAGTACACTATAGAGTGGTAGTATACAATAGAGTGGTAGTATACAATAGAGTGGTAGTATACAATAGAGTGGTAGTATACAATAGAGTGGTAGTACACAATAGAGTGGTAGTATACAATAGAGTGGTAGTGCACAATAGAGTGGTAGTACACAATAGAGTGGTAGTATACAATAGAGTGGTAGTATACAATAGAGTGGCAGTACACAATAGAGTGGTAGTACACTATAGAGTGGTAGTACACAATAGAGTGGTAGTACACTATAGAGTGGCAGTACACAATAGAGTGGTAGTACACAATAGAGTGGTAGTATACAATAGAGTGGTAGTACACAATAGAGTGGCAGTACACAATAGAGTGGCAGTACACAATAGAGTGGTAGTACACAATAGAGTGGTAGTATACAATAGAGTGGCAGTACACAATAGAGTGGTAGTACACTATAGAGTGGTAGTACACAATAGAGTGGTAGTACACTATAGAGTGGTAGTACACAATAGAGTGGTAGTACACAATAGAGTGGTAGTACACAATAGAGTGGTAGTATACAATAGAGTGGTAGTATACAATAGAGTGGTAGTATACAATATAGTGGTAGTATACAATAGAGTGGTAGTACACAATAGAGTGGTAGTATACAATAGAGTGGTAGTGCACAATAGAGTGGTAGTACACAATAGAGTGGTAGTATACAATAGAGTGGTAGTATACAATAGAGTGGCAGTACACAATAGAGTGGTAGTACACTATAGAGTGGTAGTACACAATAGAGTGGTAGTACACTATAGAGTGGCAGTACACAATAGAGTGGTAGTACACAATAGAGTGGTAGTATACAATAGAGTGGTAGTACACAATAGAGTGGCAGTACACAATAGAGTGGCAGTACACAATAGAGTGGTAGTACACAATAGAGTGGTAGTATACAATAGAGTGGTAGTATACAATAGAGTGGTAGTACACTATAGAGTGGTAGTACACAATAGAGTGGTAGTACACTATAGAGTGGTAGTACACAATAGAGTGGTAGTACACAATAGAGTGGTAGTATACAATAGAGTGGTAGTATACAATAGAGTGGCAGTACACAATAGAGTGGTAGTACACTATAGAGTGGTAGTACACAATAGAGTGGTAGTACACTATAGAGTGGTAGTACACAATAGAGTGGTAGTACACAATAGAGTGGTAGTACACAATAGAGTGGTAGTACACAATAGAGTGGTAGTATACAATAGAGTGGTAGTACACAATAGAGCGGTAGTATACAATAGAGTGGTAGTACACAATAGAGTGGTAGTATACAATAGAGTGGTAGTACACAATAGAGTGGTAGTAAACAATAGAGTGGTAGTATACAATAGAGTGGTAGTACACAATAGAGTGGTAGTATACAATAGAGTGGTAGTACACAATAGAGTGGTAGTATACAATAGAGTGGTAGTACACTATAGAGTGGTAGTACACAACAGAGTGGTAGTACACAATAGAGTGGTAGTACACAATAGAGTGGTAGTATACAATAGAGTGGTAGTACACAATAGAGTGGTAGTACACAATAGAGTGGTAGTACACAATAGAGTGGTAGTATACAATAGAGTGGTAGTACACAATAGAGTGGTAGTACACAATAGAGTGGTAGTATACAATAGAGTGGTAGTATACAATAGAGTGGTAGTACACAATAGAGTGGTAGTACACAATAGAGTGGTAGTACACAATAGAGTGGTAGTACACTATTCAAAGGCAATACAGAATATGATGGCAGTGGGCAGTATCAATTACACATACAGAGGTGATAGTAAAAGTCAGCGATAATAATAGATATTTACCCAGCGGCAACAGGGGTCAAGCTCCCGAGATGGGCTAGAAAGGGAATCAGGGATGATGATTGATCCTCGCATGAAAGCTGGTTCCAATGTGATGAAAAGTGTGAGAGATACCCAAACACACTCTTGTCCTACTATATATATACAGCTTAACAAGATACTGGGAAGTTCCACATAGTTTATCGGCACTAGAACACTAAAACAAGTTGCCATAACATATCACTGTCCGTGGTATACCGGACCGTAAGTTTACACACCACACTAGCATCTTATCTGTTTTGGTGGATAATCGAGACTGATTCCATACAGCATAAAAGGAAAATTAGTGATGCAAATATGAATGGATGAATGAAAATCAGTTATGACACCAGGTGTTTTATCACAACATTCAATTGGAGTGAGTGAGTATGGTTTAATGCCGCTTTTAGCAATATTCAAGCAACACTTGAAATGGGCTTCACACATTCTGCCCATGTCAGGAATCAAACTTGTGTCTTCGGACCAAAGAGGGAACACTTTAACCATTAGCCTACCTGACATCCCCAAGCTGAAGTCGGATACAAATATGAAAGGATCACTGAAAATCAGTGAAGAATTTTAAAATTGCAACAAAACCCTTTCCATAATCCTAAGACAGCTGCCACCATCCAATGATGATCCATCCATTGATGATCCTGCCAATGATGATCCAGCCATTGATTTTATGATCCAGCCAATGATGATCCAGCAAATGCTTACCAAGCCAATGATGACCGAGCCAGTGATGAGCAAGCCCATGACGACCAAGCCAATGATGACCCAGCCGTTGATGATCCTTCCAATGATGATCCAGCCGATGATGACCCAACCATTGATGATCCAGCCAATGATGATCCAGCAAATGCTGACCTAGCCAATGATGATCCAGCCAGTGATGACCCAGCCATTAAGGATCCAGCAAATGATGATCCAGCCAATGATGATCCAGCCATTGATGATCAAGCTAGTGATGATCCAGCCAGTGATAACCCAGCTAGTGATGATCAAGTCAATGATGTGGGTATTGAGGATCCAGCCAACGATGATCCAGCCAATGATGACCTAGCCAATGATGATCCAGCCAATGATGACCCAGCCATTGATGATAGAGCCAACGATGATCCAGCCAATGATGACCTAGCCAATGATGATCCAGCCAATGATGACCAAGCCAATGATGACCCAGCCATTGATGATCCAGCCAATGATGACACAGCCATTGATGGTCCAGCCAATGATGACACAGACAATGATGACACAGCCGTTGATGGTCCAGCCAATGATGACACAGACATTGATGATCCAGCCAATGATGACCCAGCCATTGATGATCCAGCCAATGATGACACAGCCATTGATGGTCCAGCCAATGATGACACAGACATTGATGATCCAGCCAATGATGACACAGCCATTGATGATCTAGCCAATGATGCTCCAGCCATTGATGTATGGAAAAGTCATGGATTGTATATCCTAAATGTAAGGATGGGCATGGATGAAATCGGGGACAAGTAACTTGTACATGTTATAGTTTATACTTTAGTCTACAGTTATAGATTATGCTATTGCCTCTTTTAATGTCTTCCCTTGCATCACTCAGCTTTCTGTCTCCGATTCTGATCCTTTGTTTTCAGATGTGCATTGTGCCACAACTCTATCTACTAACCGTTCATACCGCCCTTATAATCAAGATTGGTCTTTTTGACAAATTATCATTAAAGTGATCAAGATAAGAAAATGGATCAAGAATCTCTCTCCACAGTTTCTTGATAACCTAAACATGAAAGACATTAATCAAACCAATGCCCGTACAAACAATTTGCCTGAAGACAAAGAGTGAAGTTGAAATAAAAACGGCGTTTCTCACATCAGCTAGAGACACATGTGATGAACATTAAGTGTATAGTACAAAGGGTTATGAAAAGGAGAAAATATCTAAGACTTGGTTTGGACGTGAGTGCCAGGTAGCACGTGGACACTATTATGTAGCAAAAAGAACATCTACAGCATGTTCGATATCGCAGACATGCGTCAAATGACAACTGCAGATAACATAGGACTTCAGAAAGCCAGTAGATCATACGAGATGGTGTTTGTATAATGGAGTTACAGAAGAAATTTGATGCTTTGCATCTCAATGATAACAAGTATTTTGGGGAAATGCTCAAGCAGAGAAAACGTGACGAGAGACATCCGCCCCTTGACAAACTGATTGATTATTTCAAAGATATAAACAATCACCATAAAGCAGACAATGATCAACAGAAGGTACAGTTCCTGATGAGGCTAATGGTTGTCTTGATCGTCCAATTACAAAGGAAGAAATAGTGTCTGCAGTTGAACAGTTAAAAACCAACAAATCAAGTAGAGTTGATAATAACATTAACGAAGATACTAAGAGCTCTATTGACAAAATGATTGTTACCTTTACTAACTTATTCAACAACATACTTGGCGCATGATATTTCCTTGAACTAAAACGAGTTATTAGACCTATATATCACCCTCAGAACAGCCCAATCACTTGGTATTTTCTCAATCTCTTACTCAAAGTGAAAGTCAAAGATATTTATTGCATGTAAAGCCTCCGGCCCATATACAAGAGAGTTATAAATAAGTAGTTTACATATTTGGATATATACTCATGTTTAACAATTTGTTTCTGAGGGAAATTGCATTGTTAACATATGTAGCCAGTTTTAGTATGACAGCAGCATCTTTTGAAGAAAGGAGAGAAATAAAAGCAGGCACAGGATAATTTGATAGATAGCGTTCTGGTATAAACTTTCATCTTAGATCACAATAAGGAGATACAAAAGTAAAAGGAATTTCATTTTCTATAGCTGAATGACATAATGGGCACTGTCTCTTCGACTTTTCAGTGGACATTTGTCTTCCTTCGTTTATCATGAAATCTAACAATCCAAGCCTATATTGAATAAATGGACGTCGACGGTGATGCCCATGTCGTCTAAATGTACAAGCATATTATAAGCAAGTTTGAGGATTCGACGTTCATGCATTCCAAGAATATTAAACCAGTATTTCAAGCATCTAATTTGGGAGTTGATGTATAACGGGTATCTGTCGCACTCGCCATATATCATACAATTGGGTGTTGATGGACCAACTGATAAGATGGCTAAAAGATGTAGCTTTTCGAGACAATCGCATCGCTGAAATCCCCATACTTCTGATGCATATAAGAGGATTGGTTGGATTCGGGCATCAAATAGTTTTAAAAATATATTCGGTGTAAAAGCTCCTACTTTCTGCGAGACAGACATTACACTGATTAAGGCCTTTTTTGCACGTGATGTTAAGACCGAGACACTTTTCTTGAAGTTCATTGTATGGGCAAACATTACACCAAGATATGTATAATGGCTCAGAACATTAACATCATGTTTACCATCGAAAAACTATCTTTCATTCAGTGACACCTGACCCCCTCTTCTGAAAATGACAATATTTGTTTTATCATAGTTAACCGATAGTTTCCACACTTTGGAGTAACATTCTAAAATGTTAAAAAAAAATTGTAGTCCAACAACTGAATATGATACTAAAACGACATCATCGGCAAAAAGAAGCATCAACATTTCTATAACATTTGGGAACATTTGAATACCATGTTTACCGTTAGCCATAATTTCGTAATATAATTCATTAATAACAAAAGAGAACAATCTCGGGCTCAAGATACATCCTTGTCGTAAGCCACAGGACAGTCAAAGAAATCGGTTACATCGTCACCACATCGTACACATGATTAAATATTTGAATACATAGCTTTTAATATAGAGTACATTTTCCCCTAAAGGCTAGTAGTTCTTAAACAGTGCCATAGTTTATAACGATCAACTGAGTCAAAAGCTTTTTTAAAATCGACAAAGGCTACATACACTTTGTGTTTACGTCGTGATAGACATTTGTGGATTATTGCATATAATGTGAATATATGATCTGACGTTGAGTACTTTTTTTCTAAAACCAGCTTGAGTTTCGGGAATCTTATCACGCATGTGAGCCGAATTCGTAAATTCGTAATCCTGGAATTAAGTACTGATGTAAAAATCTTTCCAAGAATTCTTATTAAGGATATTCCCCTATAATTGTCTGGGTTGTTAAACTCTACTTTCTTGTGTATTGTAATAATTACCGAACAAGACCACTGTCAAACATCGTATTGAAACATTTCTGAAGAACATTTGGAACATTTTATCATTTCAACCACAATATGGTCAGGACCATCAGCTTTCCCACTTTTAGATCATTATAACACGAAGAGGAAACATCAATAATATCGTCAAACACATCACTGTCAGTGTTGAAAACAGTGTCATTTGAAAAAAGTTTTCATAAAGTATATAAGCCAATAAGCCTGTGAGATACTAACTTTTCTATTTGTCTGCTTTTTAAATGAACGTATTTGTTTCCAGAACTTAGAGGGAGAATGGATAGTATCACTCAGGTTTTTAGCCTACGTTTACACAAGTAAGATCTATTTTTCCTACAGCAGGATTTATAGTGATTTCTCTTTTTACAGTATATGTTTCTATTAGAAACAGTACGTCTACGTCTAAATGTTCTCAATGCTTTTCGAGCATCTCGTCTAGCAATCTTACATTCGTCACTTAATGGGGCATTGCTATGTTGATAACGCATAATTCTAGTTCTTTTCCTCATACAATCTGCAGAATCTAAGATAACATGGACGAAATCATCTATAGCCCTATCTATGTTAAAATCCAGTTTACTCAAAAGTAGTTGATTACAACAGAGCATCCTCTCCTACAGGCTGTTCAAAAACGTTTCACAAAGAGATTCATTCCAAACAATCTTTTCTTTAAAGCATGCAGATGTTGGCATACCATTTTGGTTGTTCACGTTTGGTAATTTACATGTTAATTCTACTGGTAAATGATCGGACTCTACACGATCTCTAATGTTGAACATGTCAATGTATTGGAACACATCCGGAGAACAGATAAAGTAATCATTTACACAACATCCCTGGTGACCACAATATGTATATTCCCCTTCTGCGTCTTCATATACCCCGCCGTCAACAATAAATAGCTGGAATGAATAACACATGTCTAACAATATCTGCCCAAATTTGTTTATCACACTGTCTTGGGATTTACGATCATCAACAGGTAGATCTTCCTCCTCACTAAATGGAATGTTGTGTTTATCAAAAGCATCTTCAAAGTTAGCATGTGGGTTGTTTTGTTCACCTGTACGTGCATTCATATCACCACAAATAACTGTGTAAGAATCACTAAATTCTGAAAGGTTTTCTAATAAGAACTGATCAAGCAGTTCAATGTTACATTTAGAGTTACGATCGTGATAGTATAGCGACCCCAACGGTGGGATATACGTACATATCAAATTTATATTTCTGCCAACAGAGCCCAATTGGTTTGCTACTTTAAAGCATACAAAATTATTGATATCTGATGTTATTAGCCTGCAAAACTTACTAATTGAATGTTGGATACAAAACTCGGCATCAACAGATATTTTCAAAATCTTTTCAAGTTTTTAATCATGGTGCTCACGTGATTTGAACCAGTTCGCGAAGTAAGACTCGTCTTATCACAATATAGATCTTCATTATCGATCACATCGCCTGACTGGGGGACGCAACTGTTTTAGGCCAATGCAAGTGATATGAGAGGTGTAATCTGACTGGTCAATAGGAGGGACATAGAAGGGACATAACTCGTAATAGCCACTGGTGGTGCTAAGATCGAGCCCAGATATTCCGACCTGGTTCTACAAGGGTGGAAACTGGACTTTTACAGTCAGTTAACGCCCTTGCCTCGCGAAGATGCTTACCCCCACATGCCGTCAGCAGCAGAGTGTCGACAGATGTCGGGCAAGTGGTATGATGGAATAAATAGCTATATTACACGATCTCTTGATTCTATAAAACGTAATCCCAAACAATATGTAGGCAATGACATTTGGAACATGTTTAAGGTTGTGAAGTTCGTCAATCCCATATCTCCCGAAGGACATAAATTACTTTCTACACAACATGGGCTTGAGAAACATACGACAGCCCCAGCACACCCTGCTCTGATAGCATTTGTAGCCCGATTTAATTTGTTTGGTTATTTAAGAATGTAATAACATCTCAAGGGTTAGTTAATATATAAAAAAAACTCTCCACGTTCACATACCCTAAAAACAATGGAAAAAATTCCAGCGTTGGGTAAATCAAGAAATCACCTCCAACAACTACAGCTAGTTTTCTCATTTACCAGATGTGATATTGAGAAGAAGTGCTATTGTTAATAATGGTTCTGCTACCAGTGCTTGTAAAGTTGTTCAAGGACGAACTGAGACTTTCCATTTTCTGGCCTAGTTTTGCTTGCTCTTTCTGCGTAGATCTGTGGATCTTCTCATCCACGGCCCTGTCTGAAAACAGTAACAAGCACACTACAGCAGTTGGGAAGTTATTATTCAATTTCACATCAGGTCTGGACATGGAGAACTGG